CACTGCTGTACAAACACCATCTGGTGTAACTGCTGCAATTGTGGTGGTAGTACAAATAAACCTCCAAATTACTGCAGTGAAAGACGGTGTCTGTATTAAACTGCAGCCATCCAAAGGTTTTGACAAGGAATAACAATAGATTTATTTTGTTAATGGTTGAGTGAGCCCTATTTTTGCAATCTCCTTGCCCTAATCCTACTGTCGTACCAGAAGAAAGTCACCTTTCCAGTGCAAGCGTACACATACATCACATGTTTGAAGAAACTTCCACAAGCAGAGAGAACCTCCCTAGGAACAGTTGACAGAAAACTAGGCTGATGACTTGGCTCCCAAGAAAGCAGTCAAGAGGGACAGCTTTATACCTTACTCCTGAAGAGTGGCTTGGCTCCTGGCCCACAGTATTCATTGTAGATGAGTTTGAACAGAAACAGGTGGAAAAGTGTGATTAAGGAGGCCACGCTGAACCAGAACAGAAAGGGTAAACCTGGGTACTGCTTGGCCATGTGCTCCTCATGGGCCAGGATAGCTTTCAGATGCAGCGTGTGTCTCAGGTCCTGCAGATGGGTCAGGTCTGTAGATATATAAAGTAAAGGTGTGATAGGCTGAGTCACCATGACAGGGAAAGTGTGACCTCGCACCTCAGAGGTCAACTCCACAGGCTCATTCAAGCAGCCTGCCTCGCAGGCATATAGCCTGACTGGTTTGTCCTGGAACTTCACAGACACATGCAGGAAGGGCTTTCCTTCAGCATCTAGCAGAACAGCTAGGTTAATCAAGTCCTTGTTATAGTGGATTCCTCGCAAGGAATAGCTGTTGTGGAGCACATCAGGGTCAGCCTGAAACTGGAGATGGTTTTCTGTGAACTGCAGACCTCCAAAGCTGAGCACCATCCCCTGCATAAGTCCCTGGACCCCAGCTGCCACCAGGCTCTTGCATCCCCGTTTCTGGAGAGTCAGCTTCCACAAGTCTGAAAGCTGCAGGATCTGAGGGACACTAGATAGCTTCTCGGGCCATAGGTTCTCTGCATGCATGGTTGCATGGCCACTGAAGCAGTGGTCAGCATAGTTCAAGTTGGCTTCCATTTTTTCTCTGTCCTCACCACTAATGAGTGGATCCAGCAGAGGAGCTGGCATGCAGGACAGGACATAGTAGAGAGTCATGTTAACGGTCTTGCTGGATGGTGTATGGGAATCTGTAATCTTTCTCATTTCAACCCCTGCAATACAGAAAAAAAAAATCACTCAGGGTGACTGATAGGTGTGATATTAAGTGCTGAAATAGCAGAGAAAACAGGAAATTGAGATTTGCAGACACTTGTGCCAACAGCTACACAGATGTTGGCATGAGGGTGATAAGGAACAACTGCGTGAAGACACTTCCGCTTGGCTGCTAGCACTCAACCATTTCTAACTCGATCTTCCATTTTGTTTTGAAAATACTCAAGTGAACAGAACATTTCTGGGAATCTAATTATATCCCATTATGATGAATCAAAACTGGAAAAGTTGCATTTTTATCATGTAAAAAATTGCTATGTGGCTCATGTACTAAGTTTCAATCCAGAAGATGTTTTAATGGGCAAGATACATATCATGTGAAAGAAGATTAACATACTTCCTTTTCCTAGAACTGTACACCTTTATAACACTTGCAGACACATCAAAGCTACTTCAGTTCCAGTGCATTGCCATAACTGACATTAACTAGTGTTAACCTACCCTCCTCAATATAAAGAAGTACAGGACTATTAACTTGTTCCTGGAGAAACCAAGGGGCTCTCAGGAATGTCCGCTATTAAATTCTCTCTAGTTAAAGTAATGGAACTTCTGCTGCTCTGACACTGTGGATGTATGTGGGGACTGTGGATGTATGTGTAACAATGACTAACTTCCTTATTAATGTAGTTGGATTTTCCATGCCTTTCAAAAATTACCAGATTTATTTATATATGCTGTAGCCTCATCCTACTAATCCCAAAAATTGATTTCCATCTTTTAACAACAGATTACCTCTGAGGAAAGGGGGGAAATGGGTATGTTTAGTCTTGGGGAAAAAAGGTTGGGGAGGAAAACTTGACAAATCTTCAGATAATGTTAAAGTCTGTTATAAGGAATAGTATAGATATATTTGGTTCTGTTTCAGCACACAGGACTGGATGTGATGATCTCTTAAGGTCTCTTCCAGTCCTATTAAGTGAGAGTGTCTTAGTATTGAGCCCCACATGTGTGTGATAAGCACTCCTAAAAAAATGAATGTTTCTCAAATTGTCTGGTCAGGATCAGAGGCTACTTAATTTTGGCCTCTGACTTGCCTTAGACCAGTGTTTCTCAACTTTTTTTTTATAAAGTACCCCTTTAAAAAAAAAAAAAAGTACCCCCGGTACTAGCAGTTTTCAGACACACAATTTTTTTTCTACCATTGTAACATATTTGTTTAAACAGCTTAATTGTAGCCGGGTGGGCAATGAACTTTTTGGATGTAAAAAGTACAAAAATAATAAAACTTAACACATTCAGTTTTTTCAGTTGTGTTGACGTACCCCCCAGATCTCTTTTGAGTACCACAGTTGAGAAACACTGTCTTAGACTACATAGTAAATCAGTGGCAAATGCAGAGCAATGAATAGAAATCAGAAACCATGTCTCAAAGAAACTGAAGTTAAGGAGAGTACTAAGCTATCTTGGAAGTTCTTTAAGCAAAAAAGCATTAGGAACCCAAGACATACCTCCTGTCCCTTTAACTGTCTTACAGGGAAGATTAAATTTCATGTGAGCTGCAATGCTTCATATAAGTGAATACTGTGGGTGGGGCTCCCCGTTAATACAAGGAAGTGCTCTTACTATTTGGTTTTCAAGTGACTCTAGCTCTCCTTACCTGAAATAAACAAATCAGACCAAGTCTGCTGGTGCTCCTGGAACAGGTCCTCAACCCCCAGCTGCATCACCACCAGCATCTCCTTCTTAGCCAACTCCCGCAGCTTGCTGAAGGTTTCCTCCAGCCTGGAGGTTTCTATGGGCTCAGAAGTGTACACCACAGACAACGGGGGAGCTGCCAGCAAGCAGCACCCGGCCAGAGGACAGCAGGAACTGCCGGTCCCCCACCTTCTCCAGACTGGTGGCAAACTTGACTGCTAGGGAAGAGGACGACGACGGGGAGGAGGCCTCGAAGGCCGTGACCCTCTCGGTGGGGTTGGAGATGTGGATCCGGATGGAGGCAGTGCCAGGCTGGGGGGATGGGATGGAGGGGAGCTGCCAGCAAGCAGCACCCGGCCAGAGGACAGCAGGAACTGCCGGTCCCCCACCTTCTCCAGACTGGTGGCAAACTTGACTGCTAGGGAAGAGGACGACGACGGGGAGGAGGCCTCGAAGGCCGTGACCCTCTCGGTGGGGTTGGAGATGTGGATCCGGATGGAGGCAGTGCCAGGCTGGGGGGATGGGATGGAGGCAGAGCCAGACTGGGGGGATGGGATGGAGGCAGTGCCAGGCTGGGGGGATGGGATGGAGGCAGAGCCAGACTGGGGGGATGGGATGGAGGCAGTGCCAGGCTGGGGGGATGGGATGGAGGCAGAGCCAGACTGGGGGGATGGGATGGAGGCAGTGCCAGGCTGGGGGGATGGGATGGAGGCAGAGCCAGACTGGGGGGATGGGATGGAGGCAGTGCCAGGCTGGGGGGATGGGATGGAGGCAGAGCCAGACTGGGGGGATGGGATGGAGGCAGTGCCAGGCTGGGGGGATGGGATGGAGGCAGAGCCAGACTGGGGGGATGGGATGGAGGCAGTGCCAGGCTGGGGGGATGGGATGGAGGCAGAGCCAGACTGGGGGGATGGGATGGAGGCAGTGCCAGGCTGGGGGGATGGGATGGAGGCAGAGCCAGACTGGGGGGATGGGATGGAGGCAGTGCCAGGCTGGGGGGATGGGATGGAGGCAGAGCCAGACTGGGGGGATGGGATGGAGGCAGTGCCAGGCTGGGGGGATGGGATGGAGGCAGAGCCAGACTGGGGGGATGGGATGGAGGCAGTGCCAGGCTGGGGGGATGGGATGGAGGCAGAGCCAGACTGGGGGGATGGGATGGAGGCAGTGCCAGGCTGGGGGGATGGGATGGAGGCAGAGCCAGACTGGGGGGATGGGATGGAGGCAGTGCCAGGCTGGGGGGATGGGATGGAGGCAGTGCCAGGCTGGGGGGATGGGATGGAGGCAGTGCCAGGCTGGGCGACACAGTGCTAGGCTGTGGGGATGGGATAGACCAATGCCAAACTGTGTGTGTGTGGGGATGTGAGAGAAGGCAGGGGCAGTACCAGCTGGGTGGGGTGGGATGGGGGCACAGTGCCAGGCTGAGTGTATGTTTCATGTAAGAGGCCAGTGCCTGGCTCTGTGTGATGGTGGTTGCTGGGGGGAGCTATGCTAGGGTGCATCTGTGCAGAGAACTCAAAAGTCTTAGTGTGGGCGTACCACACTGTACTCTGCTCAGATGGTGGTTATTGGGCTGAAAGACAGTGCCCAGGATGTGACTGTGTAACTAGAGAGAGCAGTGCTAGACTTTGAACTGCTTGGCTGTGTCTAGACTGGCCAGTTTTTCCGGAAAATCATCTGCTTTTGAGGAAAAACTTGCCAGCTGGCTACACTGGCCGCTTGAATTTCCGCAAAAGCACTGACTTCCTACTGTAAGAAATCAGTGCTTTTTGTGGAAATACTATGCTGCTCCCATTCGGGCAAAAGTCCCTTTTGCGCAAAACTTTTGCGCAAAAGGGCCAGTGTAGACAGCTGAGATTTGTTTTCTGCCAAAAGCCCTGATCGCGAAAATGGCGATCGGGGCTTTTTTGCGCAAAAGCGCGTCTAGATTAGCCACGGACGCTTTTCCGCAAAAAGTGCTTTTGCGGAAAAGCGTCCGTGCCAATCTAGACGCTCTTTTCCGAAAATGCTTTTAATGGAAAACTTTTCCGTTAAAAGCATTTGCGGAAAATCATGCCAGTCTAGACGTAGCCCTTGTGATTAGCGCAAAATATGCTGATGGGGGCCAGTGGAATACCAGGCTTTCTGCTGCTGGGACCAATGTTAGATCTTTGGGTGTATCTCTGTCTCCAGCTATCTGCAGGCAGTACCAGGGTTTTGTGGCCCTGCTAGGTTACATGATTCATAGGAAGTCCATGATTAGTTACAGTATAAAGGTTGTTTTGGAATCAGTTCTTTCTGAGAATCAGACTTGAGCACTTGTTGCCCCCAGCTGTGATTTCCTTGTTAGATTTTTCTTGCTAGATAAAACTTTCTAGCTGTTACTCTTCTGGTACAGGCAGATATCATCAAACAGAATGTGGCAGAGATAAAAATGAAGAGTAGATCTTCTGTCTGGGGGTGTGCTTTGAAACTCAGAGAGACACAACTGAGCAATTAGAAACTGTTCCAAGTTCCAATTTGTCTTGTTATGTTTCAGTGATATGTTCAAAATACACTCATGTTTTAAAGTGTAAGACATAGATGCAAACACTGGAGAGGCCTAGGGACATGAGCCCCTCAACTTTACTGTAGCTAAAGGACTTTTGAATGTCTACTCTCCTTCTCTCACATCTCAATTTTTTTTAAATGTGGTTGCACCACTAGTTAAGATATGCAAAGAGCAACTTCCAGCACTATAAGCCTTCCACATAAAGGGCTTGTTTCAAATCTCTACTGTGGTAATAAGCAAGAGCCACACACAGCAATTCCATTCAGTGAATTGGATCATTAGTAATTGATAAAATCTGTTCTATTGTCTGGCTACCACTTGGTAGACAAATACCAAAATCAGGCAGCCTTCCAGGGTCTAATTGAAAAAATAGTCTGACTTGGCAATAGGTTTTTTATAGTACAAAGTGGGTACTACACTATAGATGGAGCATTACCTCGAGTAGGTTTGCTATACCATCAGCTTCTTATAAATCTCTCTTTTCAGATGTTTAGATCTCATCCATTTTGCATCACACTGGTCTAAAATTTGATATTTAAGCAGCTGGCTCAAATTAGCCACATAAAATAATCTCATTCATTTGATTTTAAGTTGCTCTATAAATACCTTTCTTGTAATTTCTGGAGATTTTAAACCTGTCTCAAGGCAAAAAGAATTGTTTTGCGTATAAATTTAAAATTGACCTGGCAGTTCTTTTTTGAGATTCCGTTATTACTTGGACAAGGCTACGCCAGAGAATGTCTAGTTGTTGCAGAAAGGGGTTTAAGTGATAAAGGCTTGTTTACACTGGCAAGTTACTGGGCTGAAACTTTCTCACTCAGGAGTAGAGCCCTGCACAGACAAAAAATTTGTAGCTACAAAAATGAGCTGTGGATATCTGCACTGACATCTGCAAATGCAGATATCTGCACCGATACAAAGCGGATATCTGTAGATTTGCAGGGCTCTACTCAAGGGCATAAAAAATCACCATCCTAAGCACAGCAAGTTTCAGCACAGTAACTTGCCAGTGTAGATAGACTCTCTGGCTAGGTCTAGACTGCAAGCCTCTTTCAAAAGAGGCTTTTTCAAAAGTATCTTTTGAAAAAAACCTCTTTTGAAAAAGGGCATCTAGACTACAACCAGTACTTTAAAAAAAAAAAGCCACTTTATCAAAAGAGCACCCAGGCAGTCTGGATGCTCTCTTTCGAAAAAGCACAGTTTGCATTACATAGCACCTTTTTTCAAAAGAGCACTTTCGAAAAAAGGCTTTATTCCTCATAAAACGAGGTTTTCCATGGTCGAAAAATTTGCCGCGTTCTTTTGATTTACTTTCAAAAGAACATGGCTGCAGTCTAGACGCAGGTAAAGAGTTTTTTTAAAAAGGACACTTTTTTCAAAAAATCCCCGTTGTCTAGCCACACCCTCTATGCCCCAACATGGAGGGTGCTGTGCTATTGAAAATACTGTCTTTTGAGACCGAACCATATTCTTGACCATGTCAAGAATTCATGGTACCTTTTGTACCAGTCAATTTGTTAGCTCAGGAGTCATTACCACATTTTAATGCAGAGAATTGTATTTTGCTTCCTTAACTCTGCTGACATTACTGAGAAAATCAATTTTATCTCATAATGCAAGTTTTTAACTATATTTTATTCCTGTTATGCCAGCAGAACATGCATAACTAAGGTAGAAAAAAGCTGGATTCTCTTCTGTTAGGTTTAAATATTTGCCCACACAGTTGAGTGAATGGAAAAAGAAATAAGCTTTACACTATGTCTGAAACTATAGATGGCACCAATGTAAATTGTGCTTTGCAATATAGTTTTCAAATCACAGAGAAATATAATGGGGTAGGAAAATTTTTTCACTGGAAGGGAAATTAACTACAGGCAGTCCCCGGGTTACGTACAAGATAGGGACTGTAGGTTTGTTCTTAAGTTGAATCTGTATGCAAGTCGGAACTGGCGTCCAGATTCAGCCGCTGCTGAAACTGACCGCCAGTTCTGACTTACATACAGAATCAACTTAAGAACCCCAAGCATCCCCAAGTCAGCTGCTGCTGAAACTGATCAGCAGCTGATTCCAGGAAGCCCGGGGAGACGGTCTCCAGCAGACCAGCTTACGAACGGGGCTTTCTCGCCCCGGAGCTCGCAGGTAGCAATCCGCCACCTC